AACTAATTGTCTTTTTATTAATCTAACTTTTTCTAATCTTGATTTTTATTAAAAAAAAATAACATAAAAAAAAATCAAAGTAAAAGAAAAAGAAAAATAATGAGAAAAAGAGAGAGAGAGAGAGCAAGAAATGGGAATATAAAAGGGTTTTATATTGGGGCAATGGTCTTATTGGAGAGGGAGACGGAGGTTTTATATTGCGGCAATGGTCTTCTTGGAGAGGTAGAAAGGTTCCATTGTTAATATATTGATCATCTAGTGCTTGACCAAGTTAATTGAGGGATTCCTTGAAATGAGAAACTAATAAAGTTTACAACAACAATCATCTTATTAGTACTTGATAATTACGTATTTGATCAAGGAAGAAGAACACGTTTTCCTGATTATTCTTGAACCGTTAGCTATTAATTTGACCAGATGCCACAGACTTATAATGTATGTGACCATCTTCCTTGTTCGCAAAAAGTGTAAGGAACCCCAATTTCTTGCATAGAAAGTCTTTGTTGTGGAATTTCACTATGTTGATACTATCAATTTGACATAACTATAGTAAAGAAGATAACTGTTCTAGACCTTAAACATTCATTGAATGCAAACTTTAAGTATACATTTCTAATTTGTATATATTGACGGAAAATTAATGAAGCAAATTATAATGGATAAGACTTTCATCCCCAACCTCCATAATAAGATTATATATACATATTTTCCAGTGTATGGGATCATAATGTAATTTAGAAAAATTATGAGATTATAAACATAACCAACAAGAATGTGGCTAACAATACTCATCAATCCACCATTGCTAGACTAACAAAACATGAAAAAGGTTGAAACAAAACAAGGTAGAGATTGAAGGACAAAACAGCAACATAACAAGATTATATATTGCTTCAACAGTACTAATGAAAATGAAGCAAATTATAGTTAAGAAGACTCTGGGCTCCTAGCTAGGGGCCTAAAAGGCTATGAAGTGCAAAATTGGAACTAGGGCAAGAGACAAGGGGGAGCAGGTTGTGTGTGTATTTGGTTCATTGTTTTGTTGTGATGATTAATGGCCACTCATGTGAATTGGTGGGTACATAGTGGTTTGTTTGTGTGGAATAGGGACAACATTAGCGCTTTGGGATTGACATATAAAATCTCTCAATACGAGTTCATTCACTGTTTGTAAGGACAAATACATATATGCAATATATGTACGTAATATCATGTATGCATAAGAGACACTCTTGTCTTCAGCGAGAGATCTGTCCAAATTGTAGCTGTTGCTCAGGGTTGGTGATCTATTTCTTTTTACCCTTAACCAACATTTTAAAATTAGTAATTTGTTAGAATCACACCAGTTGAAATAGGGAGTTATCATTATATATATATATAGAATTATACACAGATGTCAGATTTTACGTCGTTCAGTTATATATATATCTACATTTACGGATGAAGAAGAGTAAATTTTACTAGATCAGAACAGTATAAATTTGGAATCAATTATAATCTCAAAGACACTCGATGCTCATAGCTTGCAATATAAATATTTTACCTATGAGAGAAATTAAATACATTAAATATATAACATAACCCTAATGCCTACCAATGCTCACTAGACTGAATCAGCACAAAAGATGCATACAACTTGTTGGAAAAAAAGGACCATGTTCTTAGGCATAGGATACAAGTCGTACTAAATGCAATAGATTGACAAAGGTGGGTCGAGCAATAGCAGTTAGTTTTTTTATATATATAATAATAGTTATATATTTATAATTATTAACACGTGATATTAGTAAGCAACACAGGTAGGTAGTATTTCTTCTTTAATTCAAACTCTTTCTTGTATGCAAACTCTTTTGAACAAATCTAACTGTTAATAGATTAAATTTTTAGATTAAAATAGTTATTTGATATCGTATTACGTGTTAATAATAATGAGGTTCATCGATTCATCCTTGGTCTTCTTCCCTTGTTTATTTTCTTCAGGTCCAGGTCCTGGTAATAATGAAACTATTTGATGTCATTTTTTAATCCACGCATGCCAAGTAATTTTAGTAGCTGAGATCTGGAAACATTATTAATTGTATCTTTCGTACATAGACTCACGAGGATATGAATAATATTCTTGAAAATGCAGCCGCTACTATCTTATCTATATTTAAACTATTTTAAATTTCAAAATAAGATTAAAATATCTAATCTTGCATTACTTGGAGTACACAAAATTGATTTAACTAAAACATGCATGGCTGTACTTGTTTCAAAAGCTGCCACTGTCGATAGGGTTTTTCCTGTTTCTAAGAAAGAAGTCATTGATCATTTGGTTGATGCAGCTAATTAACAAATCATCACATGATAGTGATGCGGCCATGCAGGCACTAGGGCACCCATTTTTTGGGAAGAACATTACTTGTAAATAGGCATGGTCACGTGGATCAGGAGGGAACTAGGCATTTGGTGCAAGGAAAGAAAATATCATTTTACGCGGAGAGACCTGGAAAGGAATCTGCTCGTGATCGGAGACATGGATTAAGAGGAGAGAGATATTGAAAGCAGTGAAGGAAGCGTCAAAGGATGTTTAGCTGTCAATCCCTCCAAATCCTTCTCACGGGGGAAGTTTTATTCATATCTTACATTCTCTCTCTTCCTCTCGCCGTCATCCATTTGTCCCTCTCCCAAGTAATTCCAAAATGCACCCATACACCTCGCAGCCACTTTCCGTTTCTTCTTCTTTCATTATTTCTCAATCGAATTTGGTATGTACGCTAGCTTATTTTAATTTGTTGTTGGACTATTAATCTACAAAATGATAATGGCAAATCACCACATTAATAAGTCGTAATCTTACAGTATTATTTTATTATTACAAATGAAAAATTCGAAATGAAAATGCATTATGGTATTATTTGATTATAAAAAATAAAAAATTCAGAATGAAAATGCATTACGGTATTATTTGATTATCAAAAATAAAAAATTCGAAATAAAAATACAAGAATCACAAAGATATTTTATTTCAATACTATATTTGAAATATTAATAAGAAATCATAATGAAATTTAAAATTTTTAATATATAATTTAAAGATAAGTAAAAATAATGATTAAAAAAATAATCTCATTAATTATGAATTGTGATGATAGTAAAAATAATATAGGTGATCGTGGTAATGATCATAGTAGAAGAGGAGGGAAAAAAATAGTAGTAATAATAATATATTTTTTAAAAAAAATTGATGTCACCACCATAGGAGATGACAATATAAAAAAAAAAATTTGTGGTTGTGCTATAATAAAAATAGTAGTAGTAGTGATAGAGAAAGAAAAAGAATAATGATAGAATAATAATAATAATTTAAAAAAATTATTACCACTGCAATCGAGTTGTAGTGGTGGCAATGACAATGTCAATGGTGATAGTGATAAAAATAATAAATACACAATAAATAAAAATAATATATCATTAATTTTAAAAAAAAAATCATTCTCATTTTTTATTTTTCCCCCTTCTATAATGAGAATGAAACTAGTTACAATTTTTATTTTCTATTCTCACAATTGATTTCTATTTCTACTTCATTTTTGTCTCGTCAAACAACTATAAAGTAAAAATAAAATTTTCATTTTTATTTCTACTATGAGAATGAAACTAGTTACAATTTTTATTTTCTATTCTCACAATTGATTTCTATTTCTAATTCTTTTTTTCAACTAAACAACTATAAAGTAAAAAAAAAAAAAAAATTATTTTTATTTCTATCATTTAATTTCTTGTTACCAAACAACACACGGCACATATATCTCATTATCTATTTATATGTGTGTCTTTGCATGGACTAACCACCATAATCTCACTTCTTACTGGTGTAAGTATATGATAGTAATATAAAATCATTAGCGTTCAAATTCTTTTATATGGCTTGAATTCTACTATTTTCAAATTATGAATCCATCTAAGTTTCAGTTGAAATAATTCTTCTCTTCAGAATATGTGTTAACGACCTATGGCTTGAATCCTACTATCCTCAAATAATTCTATCCTCAAATAATTCTTTACTTTAAATAATTCTTCACTTAATAGTATGCGTTAAAGATTTAATAATTTAAATTTTTAGATTGAATCTTATAGAATTATAAAGAGGGTTTTTTCCTCAACACTCCTTAGATGATATATATTGGATTATTGGAGAGATTTACATTTGTAGAGTTGTTTATATATATTAGATTATTGGGGAGATTTGCAATTGGAGAGTCGTTGGGCCTTGCCCTTTTACTCAACCATTTATAAAGAAATCAGCAAAGCTATAAAAGTCTAATTACAATTGCCACTCATCCCACCAATTATTAAGGAGATCTATACTCAGTCCCACCAATTGTTAGAGAATTCTAAACTTGAAGAGTCACTTGGCATGCATGTGTGAGGATTTGCATACAAAGATAAATATTATTTTAATCTAAAAATTTAGACTAATGGATCATAAATTAATCAATTATATATTTAAGTACCTAATTTTTTTTATTTTTAATTGATTTAAGATTCTATCTACTCACACGTAGAACTCAACATAGATGATTGTTGATAAACCGATGTACTTAATTATTGAAGGTGAAATTATATTTCCCGTAACCACTCTAATTTCCAGGTTGAAAAAACTAATAAAAGATATGCTTGGCCAGTGGGCATTATGGTTCAATACCATTCATATCTTCTTTTTCAAAGAGGTCTTTGAGTGAAAAAAGACAAACAAGGAATGTATATATACTAGGAATTAGGATTTGAAATTATTTTTGAAATATAAAAAATCAGGAAAAAAGATGGTTAATATTGTAAATTTACAAAGGAATTATGATTTATTTGGGGAAACGGGAGCATCCATGCAGGAAACGAACAAGCAATGATAGAGTTGGATAGATCATCTTCTCGTTATAAAATCCTCAAAAGCTTGCGGTGAAAAAATAAGCAAGGGAAAGGTAGCTAGTCAAGATAGGAGGCAGAAACCGATTAGAATGTCTTCCAAGAGGAAAAAGAAGGCAGCTCTTTATGAGAAGTTACGTGCTGCTACCAATTCCAATGCTGTAAAAGCCTGAACCCCCTTCAAGCTTTAGTTTCAGTTCTTAATTTCTTTTTCCCTTCCCCTTCTTCCTCTTCTCTCCCCACCCCCTTTTTCCTTTCTTTTTTTTTTTTTTTTTTTTTTTTTTGAGAAAATGGAAATAGCTCGTTCCAATCTTCTTTTGCGAATGATAGATTAGTAATCTTGCAATCGTGCAATCTTTGGTTAGTTATTTTGATCTTCTCTTTTCTACAATTGGTGATGATTTTGGCAGATGAACAAAACTTCAATCATAGTAGATGCATCAAAATATATAGGAGAGTTGAAGAACAAGGTGGATAGACTAAACCACGAGATTGGAACATCATCAAGCCCTCGAAATTCACTACCTGCGGTGCGAATATATTAACTAACAGTTCCCTTGTTTTTTGGTTCTTAATTTTCTTATATTTTTAATTCTTATCAGTTTTTGAAAATCTTCAATTCCTTGTCCATATAATACTTTATTCCTTTCATACTTCAGCAGGTCACAGTGGAAACCCTAGAAAAAGGTTTCCTTATTAATGTATTCTTAGAAAAGAATTGCCCTGGTTTACTTGTCTCCATACTTGAAGCCTTTGAGGAACTAGGCCTTGATGTGCTTGATGCTAGGGTTTCTTGTGAAGACAGTTTCCAACTTGAAGCAACTGGGGGAGACCAAGTAAGAAATTGCTTTCTTTTTCAGTGTTCTAACTTCTTGATTGGCATTCTTCCAGTGATCAAAACTTAAATTAAGGGGATCAGCATGTCTGTTTTGCAAGTCTATTTGCATATACTTGTATCTTAAATGCTGATATTATATACAATAGGTCTCAAGCATCATTCTCAAAATTAATAAATAGTAGACAAACAAAATTGATCTCACGTGTGCAGCTTAGAAACAAGGTTTGAACCACATATTTTGGACTTTCTACAGTCACTATAATGGGTGGACAGCATGGGAATACAATAGTTATCCATTGAGCAATTTCACGAGAAACAAATGTTATTAATTAGGATTGTAGGAACAATCCATGCATCTATGTTTATTTTGGGCTTGGAATGGTTTCAGTCTATTCTCTTTTAGGGCGCGAGTATTTAGATGGGTGTATCGTGGGACGTCAGTTTTGCTCTTTTTTTTTCTTTTTTTTTTTTCGAGAGTTTTATAATGAATCTTAATTCATCAAAAATCTTCTTTGAAAAAAAAAAAAAATCATTCATCCATATGTGGTAGAAAATTGCTTTATTAAATTTTCCATCAAATACCTTTCATTTTGCAGAACCAAGGTCACGATGCTCAAGTCGTGAAACAAGCAGTGCTGCAAGCTATCCATAACTGGAATGAAGGTAGCTAGCTAGTGAGCAAGAATGACACAAATCTTTTGTTCCCCTATCTTTCTGTACGCTACTGCGAAATTTTGAATTTGTATATTGAATTTCAAATTCCAAGTTAGTTGTCAGTAAAGATGTGCAGCAATATTATTGGGGTTTTGGTAATTAAATTTTGTTATTTAAACAACTCTTACTTCCAATTATCTATACATATATTTTCCCTTAGAATTCATCTGATTAGTTCAACTAAATTATTCGTCTGTGTATAAATATGTGTGTATTTGATAACCCAATCAATCTTATAGAAAGCACCATGAAGCTTGGAGGAAATAACATGGTGAAAAAAGTATAAATGAACAAGACAATTCTTGACCCAAAAACAAATTCCATGAAAAAAACTAGAAATGAAACTTGCAAAAAGTAGAGACTAGAAAGCATATATTGAATCAACATCATGGTATCCAATTGCTTATTAGGCAATAAATAAAGCTAGAACCATGCCTCAAATTCTTGAATTTTGTCAACAACTTATTTAGTCAGTTGATCTGCAATAGAGTTTGCTTCCCGAAGCACATGCACAGACAGAATTCACAAACTGAATAAGATTAGATAAGGAAAAAATTAGAGTTGAAGTCCTTTGTGTATTTCCATGGTCTAACAGTTTCATTATGTAACCTGCTCATAACAACAGTTGGATCAGATTCAATATTAAGTGTTTTATCTAGTAAAAAACCACGTTGAACTTATAATTTCAATGTTCTTTTGATAGCCAACAGCTCAGCTCGGTAAGATTCCATACGCCAACAGAAGATGAGAAAACACCCAACATGTGATCATTGTGGTCTCTTAAAACACCTCCAATATGCCACTCTTACCTTGGCTTACTCTAACAGAGCCATCAGTGTTCCACTTTAAACCACTTGAAGAGAGAGACCATGAAATGCCATTCCTGATTTCATCGTTAGACCAACTATAATTGCTTTGACTAAAAATACATCTAGATCTAAAGGAGAATAAGCAAAGTCTTCCTTAATATATAGGTTTTAGTCCAAAGATAGAGTCTTAATTATTATAAAAAAAGCAGATGGTTTTAGCAATACAAGGGATTCGTTAAACCACAACATCATTTCAAATGGGTCAAATAGACCAAAAAAGTAGCAAAGAACAGCATAACCAAATTGTTTTTGAAATTTTTCATGTGAAATATTTTTGGCAAGTTCATTCTGCTTGAATCAACAGTTTATTCGCCTCCATAAAATAAGAACAGAATTAATCTGCCATTCGTATTGACTCTAGATTGAAATTTTAAAATCAGCAAGTAGGAATTTTTTATTTTTTAAGAGAAAGGAAGCAATTATTTACCTTAAGGGGTAAAAATTCAACACGACTAAATTGTGAATGAGGAAAAAAATAACAAAAAATTCACCTGTGGTATAAACTAATATTCCAGAGAGGTTTTGACATTTCATGCATGCTTTAACTCAATTTTCAAACATTTTGAAATAAATTGGTCTAATAAAAATAGTATAGAATATACTGATCATTTAACTGCTTTTCCCTTAAAAAGAAAAAAGAAAAATACACGGGGCTACATGCCAAATTTTAGGAGTTATTTACAAATCATAACCTTCATTATGGTTTAGTGGCATAATTTATCTTCAAACTAATAAGACAGTAGCAAAATAAGGAGTACATTATTAATTTGAGTTATTTAGACCCTAAACTATTAATTTCTTAATAATTATTTTCTTTATCCATTACCTCTAATAATTAAAGTATTTATCATTAACTAAAATGCTTAAAATGTCATAATTTTAAATTATTTATTTTATTTATTTTATTAGAATTAAAATTAATTTTGAAAGAAAAATAATAGTTAGCTTAAAGAAAAGCTAGATGATTTTGCTATTTATGGATTCATCTAGTAAAAAATTATTAAATTATTAAATTTTTTATAAAAATTAATAATAAAAAATCTAAAATATTTGAAACAAAATCATTTTAAGCATTTCAACTAAAGTTCAACACTTTGGCTATCATACACAAAGAAAAAAATATTTAAAAATTAATAATTTGAGTTCTAAATAACTTAAATTAATAATATAAATTTTATTTTACTAAAAGTTTAGAAATAAACTAGCATATGTCCCGTGCGTTTTCATGGGGTGAGCTATACAATATTCTTATGTGTTCATTCATATAAAATAAAAAATTTAAAAATAATTATTTAACAAGATCATGCAAAAAAATTCAAAAAAAACCCAAAATATTTATCTCATAATTTGTTGCGGAATTAGCTAAACAAAAAGTCCGCAAAGTAGAGTAATATAATGTTTCTAATTAAATATTGTTTGATATAAACATGTATTTTATTATAAATATGTATAATAATTGATAATTAAAATAATATGTGGTACTTTTTTTAATTTTAGTGACTAATTTTTACCATATATTCTTCGTCCGTAATATGTTAATGAGATAGAGAGACCACCCAAAACAAAAAGACAAAAAAGCTTTATGAAATTGAGAATTTGAAAAAATAAAAATAAAGATAAAATTACACACAATAAAAATTAAATGATCATAAAAAAAAAAAGTAAAGATCATAAAAAAAGGATCAAAGCAAATAAAAACCTTTCACTAAAAAAAAAATTATAAACAATAAGATTAAAAAAAATTATACATAAGGTAGGAACAAAAGTAAAACATAATAGAATTTTAATGACCAAAATAAAAAAAAAATCACAAAATAAGAACCAAAATAGAAAATGTTTTTACTAAAAGTCAAAAAAAAAAAAAAAAAAAAACCTAGACTAGTGAAACTCGTATTTAATTTCAAAATAAAAGAAAAATCACAAAATAAAAACCAACACATAATAAAAAATTTTTACTAAAAGTAAAAAATAGTTCCTTATAGGTAAAAAAATCAAATATAATAAAAATTTAATGATCAAAATAAAAAATAATTACAAAACATGGACTAAAATAAAAATAAAATTCTACTAAATTCAATGGCCAAAACAAAGAAAAAATCACAAAATAGAAATAGAAATTATAATAGAGAGAAAAGTTTCACTAAAAAAAAAAAAAGAAAAAAAGAAAAAAAGATCTTAGGATAGTGAAACTTTATTTAGTTTTAGTATAGTAAAGACAAAAATCAAACATGATAAAACTTTAATGACTAAAATAAAAACATATCATAAAATTAGAAAAAAAAACATAAATTTTTACTAAAAGCCAAGAAAAAATAGTTATTATAGGAAAAAAATCAAATATAATAAAATTTTAATAATCAAAAGAAAAAAAATTAGAAAACAGGGACTAAAATAAAAAATAAAGTTTAATAAAAGCTAAAAGAAGCCTTGGCGGACAAAGAGAGGAAAAAATGTGAATAGTTAATGAACGGTGATTATAGGAATAAAAATCAAATTTAATAAAATATTAATGATCAAAAGAAAAAAAGTTACAAAATTAACTAATATACTAAAGTAAAACGATGAAATGAACAAGTGGATTACTATTTAAAACACTCTACACACACTCACATTTCATAGTCCACTCTCTCACATTTCACTGTTCTTTTCACTATTCATGATTTTTTTTTTTTTTACACTTTGCTCATTGATATTTTCGAATGCATATTTCGATCCACATATTCATTTAGTTATTCGCTTTGGTCCCCGAAAGGAGAGAGAAGGTCGAGAGAAATTGAGAGACGGAGAGAGAAAAAAATTGCTGGCCAAGCTTATTTAGGCCACTCTAATCGACGAAAATCCATTAGATTTTTTTATCTTTGAGAGATGAGTTTGTCCATGGTGATTTCAAGCCATTAAACAATTAGAGGAAGTAGATCGAAGCCAAAAAAGGAAAAAAAAACCGATTTGATTTTGTATTTTTTTTTTGTATTAAAATGATTTTTAACGTTTTAGATGTGTTTGTTAGCTTTATTCGATCATTTAGAAGTGTTTGAGAAAAAAATGATACCAAAATTCAATTTCTAAGGATCCGAAAGTAGACTCTTGATTTTTCGACGAACTTCGGCGACCTTGGGTTCGCCGAAGTTGCAGTGTTTTATTTTATTTTATTTTTTTTGTCTGGCGGCAAGCAAGGCTCGGCGTGCGGGTCCGCTTCGCACAGTGTGAACCACCCGTGGCTTCTCTCCCTTTCTTTTGTTTTTTTTTTTGCCGCATATGTGCAACCTAGTGCACAAGCCAACCGGCGCGCTCTCTCTCTCTCTCTCTCTCTCTCTCTCTCTCTCTCTCTCTCTCTTTATATATATATATATTACTTTTATTATTTAAATTTAATTTTTAAGTATTTATTTCTTATTAAAATTCACATCAAAATAATTTTTTGATATAATTTTATTTGTTAATAAATTTATTTTTTTAATATATGAATTTTGAAATGAAATTTTAGAACGTGTGTGTTTTATTTTTTAAATATATCATTATAATTTATTAAATAATTTTTTTCTTTTTAAATGAAATTTTTTGTTGATTATTTTTATTATTTAAAATTTACTACTTTCATTTGACTTTTTGTTAAAATTCTCATCCATTTAATTTGAAATTGTATTAAAAAAATTTAAATTTTTTCACCTTTGATTTCATATATTTTATACATTCACAAGCATAAAACAAACTATCAAACTAAAATAAGTTTTTTAAATAATTTTATATATTTTATTCTACCCACAACGTAACGCGGATAAAAAATCTAATAACGACTAAAATAAAAATAAATTTTTTGAAAAGCCAAAAAAGGCCTTGGCAAAAGAAGAGGCCAAAAAAAAAAAAAAAAAAAGATGAACAGTTAATGAACGGTGAAATGCTATTAAAGCCCTTGATGGAATGACAATCTCATGCCCGAAATTGTTAAATTATTGAACGAATTGGGATCCTTTAAAATAGAGTCTCGAAGCCCATAACAGAAGGCCGTAGTGAATAGCTTCGGCCTTTGGTCGCTCACATTGGGATCATTGGAATAGAATCTATATTAAACTCAGGCCCAAAAGAAAATGCTACGAATTATCAACTGGAGTATTAAGGAAAAATATTTTAGCCCAGTAATCTTTGGACTGCTTGGTCAAGGAAAAAGCAAGTTCTTGGACTAATAAGGTCTGGGAAAGAAAATGATTTTGGCCTCATGGGCTAGTCCTTATATATGATGTTCGCAATAAACTTTTCACAAAAAAATTCAATAGCCTAACGAATGCATGAAAAAATAGGTCAAAATTCGAATATTCTAAATTCAATTTGCTGAACCAAGATTGAGCCTGAACAACATGGATCATAAGTTCGATTTAAATCGAAACACCTTTTTACTTAATCGACTTAATAATATCTTCATTTTTTTAAGAATAATCCTTTAGCACATGGAACGCATGTGTCATATTGTTGATCTTTACAACAATAATAATGTAGAAACATAAAAAAGCAATTTATCTCTAAGGTTTTTTTTCCATAAAAATGCAATTTATCATGTGTCATATTGTTCATTTCTTGATATGTCATGGAAATGCGATTATAAATTGAAGGAGTTGGGTCATCGTAACCCCATTTTTACCCTTAAGCTTGTTGACGAAAAGTCTCTCTTCAAAGCACAAAATTGTTTCTTGCATAAACGAGAAATTGATTTCAACTATATATATGGTGTAAAAGAGAGGTGTATAAAATTGAATTACTCTTTCTATGAACACAACGGCCTGTAGAAAACAACCAAAATTGTTTTTTCCTCTCTCTCTATAAGCAGAAAAAAAGTTGCAAATATGGTCATGAATTCTCATGATAAAGGAATCACAAGCAGAATAGCCATTGTTAAGTATTGTTGTCAGAGGCAAGCGTGGTTTTTCTTCTTCTCTGAATCAAATAATACCCAAGCCCTCCAAAAACAAGCAGAATAATCAAACCATCGATCACTCCTACCATGACCAACACCCATTTCTTCACATTTGACTTCCCATGAGAAACATGGGTTCCTTTTGGAACCTTAACCATGTAAGTGAATCCTGTTCCCCTCTCAACCTGTTTAACTCCCATGACCAGTCCATAAAGAAAACACTCTCTTGAGCTTGTCCCATCCTTGTCAGTAGAATACAATGCAGCAGCACATTTACAATCTTGTACGCAAAAATTTGCGCATTCTTCTTTACTAACATTAACCCTTTGAGGTGCAGTCCTTAGCACACTGCTTACATCTTTTAGTTCAAGCATTTCCGCCTGACCTCTGCGACAAAACCCTTCAGAAAACTCCCCACTGCAATCAGAACCAACCCCATTTTTGGGCATTAACAGTCGGATACATGAGCAAGCATTGGACAAGGTGCAGATACCATAAGGTCTACAGGCTAGAGGAAGATCACAAGTAGTGTTGAGTGCTTGAAAAGCAGCCTCAAAAATTCCCTTGTTGGGCGAGTAGAAATATAGGCCCATGTTTCCTGTTTTATTCCCCAGTGCTAAAAATCTCAGGGGTTGAAATTGCATCCCGGACGATGGAATCTGTGCGATTTTCTTGGGTCGATCATTGAATATTTCTAACCCTTTTGAACCCAATTCAATAAATGTAATGTTTCTGTTCTTGGTAGGCTTAAATTCCCAGTAAGAATAGTTCCGCTTACCAGAACTCAAGTAGAGAACAATCTTGTTGTGCTGAATTTCAAAAGAATAGAATGCAGATGAATTGTTAGGAAAAGATGTCAAGCGAGTGGCCACATTTAATCTCTGTCCCCATAGCATTACATTAGTTGGAAAGTTGAAACTCTGCCACTTTATCCTGTTCAAGCCATCGACAAGGACTAAATTGCCTGTCTTCATTATCTCTAGTCTCTGCAATGAAGAGGAGAGAAATAGAAAGATTGATAATCAGATAAAAACATGTGTAGCGTTATGTGTGTCTGCAGGTTTTGTTATAGTTCTTTACTATTAATGTTACCTCCACACCTTGTCCTGAAGTCCCGGTTCGCCATCCGATTTGATCCTTTGGGCCTTTCAACTGTAAATCTCCATCCTTTGTTAGCTCAAGCAAACATTTATCAGAAGTGTAAAAATGAGAATAATGGCCAGAATTCCACACCTTGACATCTCCAAGAAAGACTTCCAAAGAACATGAATAATTTCCCTTAACTGGCTCGACACTCAATGCAACTCTAAAGTTAGGCACCATTTGGTTAGTTTCCATCAGAAATGCTCTTCCAAGTAATCCCACACTGTAATCGCTAGGTACTTCTAGTGTGAGACTATAGCCAATGTGAATGTCTGTTTTGCAATAGGCCTGACGATTAAACAAAAGAACAAGAAAAATGAGCTGATAGACCTTCATGACAGGAATATTGCAAAATCTGAAATTTCACTTTTGGTGCTGGTCTTCGATTTTTCCTCGCAAAAGGGGTATTATTTTCCAGGAAGAAGTGATGGAAACAACAAGAAAGAGAAAAGTTGGGCATGAGTGTTGGAACTTTTCAAGTTCTAGCCCACTATCAAAAAGGACACGAGCTTTCATTTTGCCCGGTTTGTACCAAGCGTAAGTGGGGTTACAGATGACATTATGCCACAAAAGATTGTTAATTTTGGTTACTCTAATACTAAAAGCAGCGCACTGAAAGGTTGTTGAAGCACAGGCTGTCCATGTGGGACTGTTTTAGGAGTGTTTTAATATGATGAATATTTCAAGCTATAGTATTAGAACATCTCCGACGATGTTCTTTACTTTTAGCTAACATTTTTAATGTAAATAGAGAATATCATTAATTATATAGATAAAAGATCAATACCCTCTTTAATGCTACTCTGTATTTAACTCTTTATTTTGATAAAATCTATAAAACTCATAAAGGTTATTGGTAAAGAGGTTGAGTGGCATTGGAAATAGTAATTTTCATTAATAAAATATAAGATAAAGAGTCATTTGGACTCTCTAGTATTGGAGAGCCAAAGACACTCTTTATACTAATTTTAAAGATAAAGATTGTGATAAAGAGAACATCGGAGATGAAATTTGGATCAAGCATCTTTATTATAAAGAAAAATCTTAATATAAAGAGAGCATTGGAGATACTTTTAAGTACTTATACAGTTCCAGCAACATGGACTCCATAAAGAGTAAATACCATTGTCAACTAGTAAACAGATTCTGAGGTGGGACACGGATTCATCTAATTCTGTTGGGTCAATTGATTGCTTCTTGTAATCTTTTTGAGTGCGCGGGGGGCTCAAAAGCCTTTTTGAGTGGGTTTTGGAAAGCGTGGGGATACTCCTATGTGCTTGCCACTTGTAATGAGCAAGGATAAGTCACTTGTAAAATGGTGTATGTGCTGACATTGCTCTCACGTTTGTATGACATGCCCTTATCCATATCAGCATTCACTAGCGCTGCCATGCCCAACAATTGGAGGAAAAGTTGCAGGTTTTCATGATGGTGTATTCTTGGAGAGAAACCATTTTGGGTTTTGAGAGGAGAATGGATTGAATGTAGGCTGTCATTAGGGGCTTGAAGTATGTCACTGTCCTTGTACACGAAGGCCCAGCTCTATAATGCTGCATAAACTGACTTGTCCAAGGGCTCGAGACCAGTCTTCAACTAGTCCAAAGCCTAAAAGGAATCACCAGAAGACGGTTTTTATTCTTTGATGTCTGCCAATTTGCGATCCATCCTGGACTTTGGTACTTGATCCACCACTGCTCGTTGGCTTCGTACACTTTGCTGCAAACCACCGGAAGTCTGCCAGAGTTGAAGTTGAACGAAGGGGATGCAAGCTTCATCACGATTAACTTGATTAGAGGTGAGCAATGAGCACTATTTGAATTTACATTACCCGACTTCAATTGGGTGCAAAAAACATTCGAATAAGAATAAAAATATTCGGGTATCCTAATTACTTGAACTGTATATTTTTAATTTTTGGGTTGGTTGAATTATAAAGAAATCGAGTTTGCATAAACAATAATTTATCAGAAATGACTCTCGTTTCTTCCTTTTTCTTTTTTCATTAGATTTACCTCCACTTAACAAGATGGAGACATTATATATATATATATATATATATATATACACTCGAGAGAATTGATTGGATGGTAAAAGAAGTTCTCTCCAGTCCTTAAATATTAATATGCAAGTTTAAAACGAGAATGTGAAAAATGAAAATTATGGAGCAAATAATAAGGAGATAAAAATATGTCGAAGTTCTAGAGAGGAAAGCAATAAAATAAAATTTCAAAAATGAAACCAAATTTTTTTGAAGGAAAAAAACCATATGTAGTCATAGGTGTTTTGGGGAAAATAAGGAAGCATTTCAATCTAATGGGGATCAAACAAAAACTTTGAGCAATGTCTTCTAGGCAAAAAAAAAAAAAAAATTGGATTACACTTCAAATTTCCATGTAGGAAAATGAAAACTTTGTTAAAACTGAATGTAATAGATTTTTTTATTTTTTCCAAAATAACGAAAGACAAGTAAATTATCTCATATTCTGAAATAACGTTACGCCTACGTCGACTCTTATAAACATAAATTATACATAAAAATAAACTATTAGAAACTTATAATTTTTTTATATAAAAGTAAGCTATTATTTTATATAAAAAGATCAATATCAAGGTCGAAACTTATAATTTTTTAAAAAATAAAAATGATTATACATAAAATTATAAATATACTTCCAATTATATATGACGGTATGTGATATTAGAATTCTCAATTTTATAATTAGATTCATATATAAAAAAAAAATTCTAATTATATATGACGGTATGTGATATTAGAATTCTCAATTTTATAACTAGATTCATATAAAAAAGAAAAAAAAAACCCACTTATCCTTTATGAATTAGCAATTTAAAAAAATAGTGGAATCCTCCTTTGCTCATAAATTCCTTAAATCCTAAACCTAAACATTGATTATTAAAATAAAATAAAATAAAAATTGGATAGGCTCTCTCAATCTTTCCAACACCTAGAGGTGAACATTATTTGGTTAAAACTGAATCAAACCGAACCGAATTAGAAATTTCAGTTCGGTTTAAAAAAAAAACAAAAAAAAAAACCAAAACTGAAAATCGAAATTATTTCAGTTTGGTTCTTTTTTTAAAAAAAAAATTGGTTTCCATCAAAAACCGAATTAGTTTTTTTCTTTTTTAAACACATACCCAAGCTCGTTTTAAAAAATAAAAAAATAAAAGAGACACTTATGGGTTTAACCAAAAGAACAATAGCTTTAATGATTTTTTTTACTTACAATAAAAATATTTTTTATTAATTATTTATTGAAATAATAAAATAATTGATTATATTATATTGACTCATAAACAAATGAAAAAAAAAGAATGTAATAAAGTAATTCTTTATAAATACACAAGTTTATATATGAGTGAATCCTAAAACCTCATGGAAAAGAAATCGTCTCTTTGTATTAAAATTGGCACAAAAACATCTCCTAAAAAAATTGACCCTAAGCCGCTCCATTTATAATAGTACTATAGTAGTATTAATATTAACTAACAATAATAATTTTTTCACTCTTTTTATGCTTATACTAAACATAAATTAAAAATTGGATTTTTCATATTATCTATTCAACAATAAAATATGTACAAAAAAAGTAGATTAAAAAGACTATGGAAAATTAACAAAAAGCCAATTGTAGCGTGATTGAAAAAATAATGAGAAGTCCAACCAATCTAGTATAGAAAAATAATAATAATTTTACACAATTTTTTTTATAAAATCAAATGTGAAATATGCAATATTTGATCATGTTGTGGCTCAATAAATAGAGAAATGCGTATTTATTAATTGGAGTATAAGATTTAAATGACAAATAGTATTCATGATAACGAGTTGTAAAGTTAAATTGCTATAAAAGTTATGATGCGATTATTAAGTGAATTAACTTATGTCTTTTTAAATTGTAATCCAAACAAGTGATCCTCTCTAAAAATAAATGAAAAAAAAAAATCAATCACTATTGAAAACAATAATAAGTTTTTTTCACTCTTTTTATGCTTATACTAAACATAAATTAAAAATTGGATTTTTCATATTATCTATTCAACAATAAAATATACACAAAATAAGTAGATTAAAAAGAATATGAAAAATTAACAAAAAGCCAATTGTAGCATGATTGAAAAAATAATGAGAAGCCCAACCAATCCAAGTTTATAATACAAATAAAAACAAATTTAGTATAGAAAAATAATAATAATCTTACATAATTTTTTTATGAAATCAAATGTGAAATATGCAATATTTGATTATAATGTGGCTCAATAAATAGAGAAAGGTATATTTATTAATTGGAGTATAAGATTTAAATGACAGGTAGTATTCATGGTAACAAATTGTAAAGTTAAATTGCTATAAAAGTTATAATATGGTTATTAAGTGAATTAACTTATGTTTTTGTAAATTGTAATCCAAACAAGTGATTCCTTTAAAAAATAAATGAAAAAAAAATCAATCACTATTGAAAACAGTACTCAATTACTATGTAAGTTTGATATTTTTTAAAAGCAAAATAATTCGGTTTTTAGAAGAAAAATGTAAAAAAAAAAAAAAAAAGTCAGTTTTTAACCCAAAAATTCAGTTTTTTAATAAAAAGAATTGAACTTCAATTTGGTTCGATTTCAATTCTTGTTTTAATCAATTCAATTAATAAAAATAAAAAATAAAAACTGAAATCGAATCGAAAAATCAAATGATCACAACAACCAACACCCTATCGTGACTCTATTTTAATCCTAAAAGCAAATAAACGGAGTAGGGGAAAAAAAAAAAAAAATTCCAAAAAACGACATGTCGTTTTATTTTTTTGTAAAACTGCAGACGGGGCTGCGGGGCCCTTCTCGGTTCCATTCCAGTTATAGTTCTGCTTCTTCTTCCCCAGTTTCTGTAGCACCAACAGCGCACTCGTGGTCTTTATGTACCGTCCAATTACAGCAAAAGTTTTTCGACTATTGACATCACCAGAGCCCGTGCTCTTCAATTCCCGCCAAATTTCTTCTTGGCTTCTCTCAGCTGGAAAGATGAGTAGTGGAAAAGACAGCACAAGTGAAGATTCAAGCCCCAGTGCTGGTAATTCTACAATTCTTTCTATCTATTTTCTTAAATTCCAAAATAAGCATTGATGTTACCTGGTTATCCAGTAAAGCTTGTCCTTTTATAGACTGTTTTTTTAAATAGAACATGGGTTTTCTTGATTAAGGTTTAAGAATTGAGGAAGGTTGATCTTTTCTTAACAAGCTAAAAAATGTGGATAGCAACCCAAAAATTGGATTGAATAAATTATGTATTTATCCTTGATATGTAAAAGAAGCAGATATATCATGTAGTGAAAAGGTTTGATTATTTTTTGTATAGCTAGTAATGAAAAAGGTAGATAATTTGCAGGGGGGCTGGCATCAGGTCGAGGCCTTCGCCTGATCATATTGATCGGAGGGAATGTAAATGTGCCCCGGAAACTAGTAACAATAGTTTAGGTTTTAATCGTGGAAGTTTCGGTAAAAGGAGAAGTAGAATTGATCTTAGATCAGAGCAGAGGACCGGGGATAGTAACTCATCAAAATGCCAGAAGAACATCCGTGCTCGCGTTGAAAGATCTAAATCTGGCCAGAGCTATTGTAAGCATGCCGCAAGTGCCAATCATGTTAAGGCATTTGATATCTGCCTTCCTAGCAGTAGTGATTCTGCTGGTTTAAAATCCTTGCTTGAAATGGAGGAATTCCAGGAGAATGTTGAGGACCCCATTGAAGAGACTAGACAAGGAGTGTTGCAGCCTGGGATGGTTCTCCTAAAACATTATATCTCCCTCAATGATCAGGTGCTGCCTAGTGGTCAATCCTTACTTCTTCTAGCTAGCTTTTAGTTGTGCAATTTTAGAATTGGTTGTTGAAAAACTATGATGTCTTTTTACTTGTCTAATAAGGACTTTTGGATTTTGATTGCAACTGATGAGATTGATGTTCTGGCATCCTGTATTTGTAGGCAATTTGGACATGATCAGCATTTATCCTCATTAATTCTTTCTCATTATTGATCAACAGATTCTGATGGATGCAATTGTCTGATCATGAACATTAATTGATAAGATGACAAGAAGAAAATGTAGAATTGGAGGTCTAATATGCAATTACCATTCTTTAAGAGTACTTAATCTTTGTAGACATGTTTTTTTCCCCTCTATATCAAACAGCATTGATATCCTTTTCTTTTAATTGCATGCTAACTTCATAGCCTTTCAGATTGAAATAGTGAAGAGCTGTCGAGAACTTGGTCTGGGCCCAGGGGGTTTTTATACTCCTGGTTACAAATATGGAGCAAAGCTTCGTCTGCAGATGATGTGTCTTGGTCTCAACTGGGATCCTGAGACGAGAAAATATGAAGATCGACGCCCAATTGATGGTTGTAAGCCTCCTTCTATTCCCCATGAATTTAATCAGTTGGTTGAAACAGCAATTCAAGATGCACATGCTCTCATCAGAAAGGACATCCCATTAAGCAATGTGGAAGACATGCTTCCTGCAATGTCTCCAGACATATGCATTGTGAACTTCTACACAACCAGCGGGCGACTTGGGCTCCATCAGGTGTATAGTTAACTATTACATGTTACTCTATCCTCGTACATAGACTTTGAGCACAGACTTTGAGTGTTTTTTTTTTTTTTTTTGAAAGATAAGTTGTTTATATTCTCAAATCCCCAAGCTTTGAGCATACATAATTGTTCATTGACATGAGAAAGCTAGTGAAAGTCCTAGGATTGTTGAGATTGTAAACATAAGATTCCGTGATTTTTTGGCTAATCTGTTCTATAACACGATTATGTGTTCTTTAATTTTCCAAATTTAATTTTGAGATACATAATTTATGCAATGATTCTTTACTTGCAGTATAATATTCAAAAAGATTGTATCACCCTTGAGAGACTTAGTTGGGGTAATGCTAAGTACTTAAAAAGCTCTCCGATTGAAACTCAAGGTCTTGAATTCTTGTGCGTCAGTTTGCTATTGTATCCAGCACACTGGTTATGTCAGTTTGATTAGTTAATTTTAAGTAAGAAGGGAAATATGGGAGGAGGCTCTGCTCGGAAAGAATTGCCAATTTTTCAATTTCAATAAATGCATGAGTATTGTCTATACCTTTTCGGATACTTGTTTATTGTTTGTATAAACATCAAAAAGGGGCATTAAGGAAATTCTTTCACTCATCTTGATTCTTACATTTGTAGGACCGTGATGAAAGCAGAGATAGTCTTGACAAAGGACTGCCTGTTGTCTCCTTTTCTGTGGGCGATTCTGCAGAATTTCTCTATGGGAATCAGAGGGATGTGAACAAGGCAGATAACATTGTACTGGAATCAGGAGATGTATTGATATTTGGTGGCAAGTCCAGGCATGTATTTCATGGTGTAACCTCCATAATCCCAAATTCTGCACCCAAGGCTTTAATTGAAGAAACCGGGCTTTGTCCTGGCCGTCTCAATCTAACATTCAGACGGTATTGAAAACCTTCAACCTTAACTTCTGCTTTACATCTTTGACATCACCATCTTTTTAGCAGAGAGCAAGTTATACTTCTTATCTGTTACAAATTTTGGTCCTTGTATTACAGATATAGTGTAGAATAAATGCAGGATATTCTACACATTTTTGCAGCTAAAATTGTTGACTACTGCCAATTTTAGTAATCTAAATAGCAGAAACTAACAAGTCATAGATAGCCATCGCCAATGCCTAGTTGTCTCACCAAGAATCCTGCCACTGAAGTGCTCAAAATCATCGTACAAAAAAAAAATGGGACATAGATGACAGAACGAAACTTGACTACCAAATTTAGACCTGAAAATCAGCCACGGGATCGGGGAGCAAGGCATGTAAGGAGTCTAAAATTTGTGACTCATAACCTATGATTTTATTTTGTATCAAGTCAGGACTGCCAATCACGAGATAATCGTTGGATTATTAATTAATTTGGTCAATAATCTATGTACCTATCTGCTGCCATGTTCAATTAAGCTATTTAAAATATCATATATATTTCATACATTAAGCATATTATATTTACTTTCAGTTTCGTGTTGTATGTGTCTTATGGTTCTTGTTTTCCGTGGAGATGATAAGCTAAGAACTAATCATTTATGAATTTTTTCCATATATAGGACTGTATTTTTTGAATTTTTTTATTAAGATTTTTTACTTTTAGACTCTTCTTATGAATAAGTGACATTTGGCATATGATATTGGTATAAGTGTCCAAGATCTAACATTTTATGGATGGTTTGATGCATTATAACATTGCATTTTAATATTAATAAAGAAATCTTTCTATTAATTCTTGTTATTTATAATTTGATGGAATTATATAGAAGTCCATATGATATGTATTACATTAATGATTAATCAAAAGATGTGAGACAAGCATTAATTCACTTAAATGATATTATTAAATGTCCCAAGTCGTAATATTGTTTAGAATGGACATTGAATATATATGGTAAGACTTGTGAGTATTATGCTCATGCTATTAAGATAGCGATAGGAGATCTCACACTTATTGGCATGGTGATATTAAAGCAAGCACTTAGGTAATTAATGTTAGAAAACATATCACTAGACTTTACTCATCATGAGAACACATTTGGTTTAGTTTATAGGAATCTCATACGAGATAGATATAACTAATCCTTATCATGATTATTTCATTAGAGAATTAGTGCATTTTGACATTTATTTCAATGGGCTCAATAAAGAGCCGCATATGTGCGATTCTTTAGGTTTGTTAGGAATCTAATGAAGATAAGTGAGTGATTAAAATAGAACAATTTGTTCGTTGTATGGTAAAGGAGTTATCGGATTGTACTTTAATAAATATTTACTCAATAAATTTATGACCACGGTGAGAGTATACCAATAGAGTATAGTTGGTTTACCTTAGAGCTAAGATATTTGAGAATCGAAGAAAACTTGTGTGATTATAATCAAACAGATTATAAACCAAGTTCGAGATCACCGAGTGATAAATTGACACAAAAACCGAATTGTATGATAATTATACTCGTGAAAAATAATTACGGTTTAAATATTTATGAGAACACATTTGGTTTAGTCTATATGAATTTCATACGAGATAGAACTAATCCTTATCATGATTATTTCATTAGAGAATTAGTGCATTTTGACATTTATTTCAATGGGTTCAATAAAGAGCTGCATATGTGCGATTCTTTAGGTGTGTTAGGAATCTAATGAAGATAGGTGAGTGATTAAAATAGAACAATTTGTTCGTTGTATGGTAAAGAAGTTATCGGATTGTACTTTAATAAATATTTACTCAATAAATTTATGACTACGGTGAGAGTATACCAATAGAGTATAGTTGGTTTACCTTAGAGCTAAGATATTTGAGAATCGAAGAAAACTTGTGTGATTATAATCAAACAGATTATAAACCAAGTTCGAGATCACCAGATGATAAATTGACACAAAAACTGAATTGTATGATAATTATACTCGTGAAAAATAATTACGGATTAATTAATTCTTCTAGAGAATTAAGTAGTCATGATGTTTTGTTAAAGGTTAATTTTGATTTATGTATTAAGAGATAAAATAGGTGTTTTTTATATCTTTTATACATCGTCAATATATCTAAAAGCCTATTGAGTCACACACATAAGTTTAAACATCCACACAATAAAAGAAAAACAAAAATTTGGAAAAAGGTTTTTGTTTTCTATTTTAGAAAAAATTTCCTAAAATGAAAAATTTCCTATTTTGAAAAGTCAATTTCCTAGAATGGAAAGTCATTTTTTATTTCGAAATCAATTTTCTAATTTGAAAGTCAATTTCAAATTTTTCAAATTTGGAAGGCGATTACCTAAAAAGAAAATAAGTTTTCTAATTTAGGTTTAAGGGTATTTTGAAAAATTATTTTCTAATGTGAGCCTTCTAAAAATATCCGACTTAATTTATGTTTCAAATTAATTGGGTCAAAAGAATTTAGATCAATAGACTTAATTTAAAAGCCTATAAGATTTTGGAAAGTTGATTTTCTATTTCGAAATCAATTTCCTAACTTGGAAGTCAATTCCAAATTTGGAAGACGGTTATCTAAAAAGAAAATTAGTTTTCTAATTTAGGTTTAAGGGTATTTTGAAAAATTATTTTCTAATGTCGAGTCTTCTAAAAATATTTGATCCAATTTATTTGGATGCTTCAAATTAAAATAAATTGGGCCAAAAGAGTTTGGATAAATAGGTTTAATTTAAAAGCCCGTAAAATATTTTGATGGAAAGATAAACTTAAGCCCTATTGAATAAGGTTCGAGGTTTCCAATGATAAAATGAAATAAGTTTACATATATTACAACTCTTTATCCTTAAAGGACAAGAACACCACCCTTATATATAGAAAAGAAAGAGAGGCGACAACAAGCTAAACGAGGCAAGCATGCATCGCAAAAAGAAAAAGAAAAAGAAAAGAGTTTTCTCTCACCAAACCCATCACTTCTCTTTATTTTCTAAGGTTAACGCAAATTACTTTATAGGATTTTTAGAGAAAAATAAACTACACAAAAGGATTGGAGTCAGCACTCTAAGATTTATGTTGCTTCTTGTATGGGTGTTTGAGCTGTGTGGATTATTAGTAAATGTCAAACACTTGAATAACTTTTTTTCACAAAGGTTAATTTTGCATTACAAAAGATAATCACTTACTATTATTTTATTCGTGTATATATAATTAGTTTATTCAAAGACGTGATCTTGAGAACCTTAGATAGAGAAAAAATTTTTATTTATTTTACACCTTCATATTTCGTACGATTCCCACACAATCTTTATTAAAAAAAAAAAAAAAACAATTAAACAATCATTTAAAAAATAAAATAAAAAATCCTCCTTCATCGCAGTGACAGTCTTATTATGGCTGCTAATTTAGTAAAGCCAAAGCAAACAAATTGGCTCAGGGGACAGGTAACTTCGCACCCAAATTTAAATAAAAATTGAGAATCACATTACATAAGTCCTACTTCTTCACTGATTTTTTGACCACAAACAGTCCTTAATTTTTAGTCTACCACGCAAAATGATTTCCTTAATCCTTACATATTCACACACCATGGAACCCCTAGACCCGATAATTGATTGTCTCTTTGTTAGTCAAATGGATAAACAACTCGTCCTGTCACTGTCCTTTCTTCACTGCCAAGGCTTTGGCATCGATTAATCAAGAAAGCCTTGATGTCACCTTAAATCATGAAACAAAGAAGCCATTGCACCTGCAAAACCCAGAAACCGAAATTTGTAGAGAGTATAACTTTCAACTGCTTTGACTCGTTCTTACCAGTATCCAATTAGCAATCAAGAACCAAGAACAAGCCAAATCAGTTCATGTGCTAGTTAGGAGAAATAAGCAGAGGAGCTCAAATCAAGAACCAAGTCCCGATATTTGTTTGCTTTGGCATTACAAAATCAGCAGAAACGAGACTGTAGCTGTGTAGTGTTTCTTTCCTTTTCTTTGTTTCCTTTCCTTTCCAATATTGTTGAGAGATTTCGGGTATTTGCAAGAGAGACTGGAGAGAAGAGAAAGAGAGAAGGATGTATTGGTCTTTTCAGCTATTTTTTTATTCTTTAAATCATTGTTTATTCGGTTTTTTTTTTTTAATATGGACATGTTTATTGTGTTGTTGAACTCTCATGCCACGTGTTACTTATTTAACTGGCATATAAGATTAAAAATAAATAACTTTATAACAGAAGTTTTTAAAAAATAAAAAATTTTAATCAAATTGTAAAAAAAATAAAAGTCTCGAGATGGATATATATATATATATATATATATATATATATATATATATATATATATATATAGACAAAAATTAACCCAATATATTTTTAATGACCCCAACTATACTTCCAACTCCAGCAAGGATGAACATTATTTAGGGTAGTTGAGAGAAGGCATCGCACCCATCCCAGCATATTGATAATGCTAACATGTCAGAGATCAAATCAAGATCAGCTATAAAAAGCATAAAAATATTATTGAAGCCACGTATGCAAGGCATCATTGAGCTAGCAAGATAAGATGGCTCTATTATTTTGTCATTGGATTTTGCATGGTTCATAGCTTCCAACTTCAAACCAAATGGATTGCCAACCAACTCTATTTTGGTCTTGTACTGATTAATGGGGTTAAAATTTAAATTTGTTTAGTTGTATTTTTTGAGAAATGGGAATTAGTATACTCTCAAATTGGTGTTTTTTTTTTTTTTTGAATAAATTTTACCCTATAGTATAGTCAGCATCAAAGGTAATTTTTACCTCCAATATATCTAGTCTCTCTCCTCTATTCCTATCTCAAAATACACACCAAATAATTTCAATTTTATATTACCAATTATTATTAATAATTGAATTATTTCTTTCTCTTCGACAAACAATTTACCCCCAAAATTAATCACACGAAACATTTTAAAAAATTAATTCTTTTATAATAATTCACTCTCATTTACCACAACTAAATGTTATCTAACCATAAGAAAGTTGTCTTGATTTACTCAATACTAAAATTTAATTCTCATTATTTACAGATAATAGTCATAATTATTATTTAATAGTATTAGATTTTAATTGATTTGATCAAAGAAAAAATTTAGTAGTCGACCAAATTGCAAACTTATGCTAGTTTTGATTTGGCTCAAAAAATAATAAATTTAATCTCAATTGATACAAAAATTAATTTAAAAATAACCCACTATCTATATATATCAAAATAATAATAACAATTCACTCCTATTTTTTTTAAAAAAAAAATGGTTGCAAACGGCACCTCAAGGCTCAAAGAAGTTTTGCACCAACTCCAAACTATTATCCCTGTCTAGATTGGCTATCTTACAACCGAGAAAGCCGTAATTGTAACATTTTCTTTTAAGCATTTTCTTGACGTAGGCGGCTTATATTATATCGTCCATAGTGGACTGTATTGCTGCCATTTCACATCAGTCTGTGTCTCATATGCATGTAGCTACCAAGAAGAGGTTGTTCTCGTTCAAATTATTGCCCATCTGAGGTCGAGAGTGTACTGTAAATGGGATACCAACAAGAAGCTTTAGTCTCTTAACGTGACAGATTAAAATAAGCAAGAGGGATGTGGAAATCCTACAAGGCAAGACATAAAAGATGCCATCATCTGATTTAACATGGGATGTGGAAACCCACTTTGTCCTGTACTACTTAATTCGATCGTAGATTTCATCATTTGTATTGTAAAAAATATTGTAATAATTTAGTTATATACATAGTATTGCCATGGTGACTTCAACCATGACCACAAACTTTCATTACATTACATTGTTTATACGTTCTTGAACATTAACATGTGGCTAATGTTTAACCAGCTTCGATAAAGTTCAATCTCCCTATCATACCCCAATATGTAAGATCACTAGAAGTGTACTGGTTCCTAAACAAGGTTAGATACATTAAACCACACATTCAGCTCTGATTTTATCCCTGATTTCTTGCCAGATACAAGGGGTTAAGCTCTGAAATCTGTATAAATCATTATATATTGGTAATGGAGCATAACGACATTCTCTCACCATCAATTAAGTGGAGCCATAGATTTTTTAGTGGAGACCCCTTTCAAAATTAAGCCCTTTAAACCATGGTATGACTTGGTAATTAACTAAGCACTGTTATTAGCTTGTTAATTAGTCAAGCAACTGATGGTACGATAAGCAGTTATCAAGGTTGTTTTTTGGTTTGAGACTAGTGCTTAAAAGTAGCAGTTGTTGATCAAAGTCATGGTCCTGTCTTTACAAATCAATTGGAATGTTGTGGGGTGAATGGACTCCAAAATAATGGCAATGCTTGTTTCGTGTGCCAGCACTTTCAATCTTTCATGAAAATGAACATCATCTAGGACCATTTTGCTAGACATACATTAGTGGTCCAAATATCATTGAAGCGAAATCATGCAACCTATTCTAAAAGAAAAAAATTATCCATCATAAAAAAAATTGATTGATATAACACAATAAAGATTTAAATATTATTCAGAGATAGATATAATATATGTGTGCGATTAAAGATGTATATAGAGATATAATGAAAACTCAGAATATTATATATGAATAAATTGACATATTTATGCTATAAATTTATATAAATAATCAAATTTAAATTAGATACCCTAACTGTCATATTAGGTACTGGGGGGTCGAGAAATTTTGTCATCAACATGAAAATTGAACTTGGTTCAATACTACGATCAGTTAAGAGATTAGTTCAGTAGGCTAAATATTATCTAATATCAATAGTATCATTAGCTTTCAAGTGCCAGTTTTGTTAGCAAATCAAAACTCTTTTTTACACGTACTGGAATATTTTTATTTATTTAATTTCTGGTTTTTTCTTAGGTGCTTTTGCAAGTTAAAGTGAACTAGTTGCATTCAAACAGTGACAATAAGCCATGCTTAAACAAAAATCCATATTTTTCCACTTCAATGTTTTTTTTTAAAAAAAAATCATATTATGATTGGATTTTTTGCTACTTATAAATAAACTTTGACAGCTGTTGTTTTCTTTTTTTAATTTTTTATTCTGTGAAAAATTGCATACATGTATTATTAAAGAATACAACAAAGTAATAAGCAATTTAGTCCTTGGAGAAAAAAAAACTCGCAATTTCAGTTGATTTGAAATTTTCTCAAAAATGGGACGGTCAGAATACCTTCTGGCAACCATATTGTTCCTAGACAGAGTTTCTCCCATTCTTCTACATTGATAAAGGCACAGCTCTCACAAGCTACACGTGAAACTTGTGTTAGGGCTGTCCCCGTCACTGTACATTGTTTAATACACCATTTTGGAAAAACATGCTTACATTTTACTAATGCCATTGCCATAGGTCTGATGGTAATTATCTTCGCTATTTAAAAAAAATTGTATTTTTTATTTATATTTATTTTAAAAATTTTAGTCAAAAAATTTTGATCGGTGTATTTTTTTTAAAAAAAACTATATTTAATTAAAGTATATTTTTATGACTAATAATCCTAATATATATATGTATGTATGTATAAAAAAATATAAATAAAAGACGTTGATATGATATAATCATTAATCATTGATGACTTTTATGGAAATATTGTATCATTTACTTGAATACATAATATATAATATCAATTGTTTTCTTCAAACCTCCCACAAAACCTTTTGTTTTTTTGGTTTTTATGATTAAAGATGGTTTTGTGAATACCCGTATCTAATTTCAATCGGTTAAAAGTAAACTATCCATGTGAAAAAGGGATCTATGAAATAACAATCCTACCTTCATCTATCCAAACAATAAAAAGAAAATCTATTATATTTTCAATAAATTTTAACTAAAGTTTACAAGTGATGAGTCGTGGCTAACTCAACTAACAAATTAAAAACAAATGGTTCATGATATCGATGGTGATCGGTGAACATTTGTAGATCATAATCAAAAGTTTCTTTATAATATATATTTGCAAAATAAGTTTTTTTAAAGTTAAGTGAAAAATATTTTAATGTCTAAATTAGTAGTCGAAAGATGAAGAATTGACTTTAAAACACTTTTATATGCTCATGTATATTAATTTGCATGTAATTTAGTAAAAAAAATTAGAGACGTATAGAATGGTTTTATTTTGAGAATAATTTATAGTTGGTTTGGAGAAGCGTTTTGCTTATGTTTGGAATTGTGATAGGAAAGGGGGTATCATGGAATACTTTTTTTTCCTCTCTTGGAAGTTCTCGTGCAGGTGTAAAACTTACATGCTGATTTGGATCTTGGTCCTTCTTTCGTTTTTTCTAGACTTCTTTTCTTTATACAAGCAGTAGTGGGAATTTCACAGACGATCGGAGGGACATAAATGTCCTTTCCCTTTTTAGGTGAGTGGACAAATTGGCAAGCGTTGGTATTTTATGATCAATGTATTTAATTTTGCGACGGTTTTAATGCGATTGTAACACGAATCATGATTTAATTTATGTCAGTTTATGTCATTGATTTCAGAAAAGAAAAATAAGAAATAAAAAATCATTTTCCATTTCTATTCTGTTATTGATCTCGTCCAATAAAAATACAGTAATTTTCAGTGTGTACATTCATGTTACTAGAAAAGGACAAGAAAACCACAACACGTCACGCGATTTCTCCCTTCTTTCTCCTATATATATCTTCCCTCTCTCCATCTTCACCTCCGTTGCTCTCTCTCTCCCCTCTCCTCCACCAACCCTAAGAAACAAGTCCTGCATTTCAGGAATCTATCAAGAAAACAGCACAAAATCAGAGAGGCAGAGAAAGGGTTTCTTGTATCTTCATAACTACAAACAACAAAACATAATTCGAAGCAGCTAAGAGAGATGCAGAGATATATCACCAAAAGGGTATTATCGTCAACAAATTCTCTGCGTTCCCGTCGCTGCTTCTCTGAACTTGCCCGAAAACAAACCTCTCTTCAAGAAAATGAAATCCATATTCCCCAACTACCCCCATTCGATTACTCTCCTCCTCCTTACACCGGTCCTTCCGCTGAAGAAATCTTGGCTAAACGTCAACAGTATCTCAGCCCTTCTTTATTTCACTTATACAGTAACCCCGTGAGTTTCCACCGCACTATATCATCTCTGTTTTTTTTTTTCTTTTTTTCCCGACGGGTTATAAACCCTGAGCAAACATGTAGCTAGCTCGGCACAGCTGCTTGAAACAGGAATCGTGGGCTCGGCTGGTGGCTCAAATGGGATTCTTTTTTATGTTTCTTTTTTCTTTTCCCACAAAGCATATACAAGGTTGATTGATTTTGATGGAATATTCTGTTAAATTCTTAACAGCTGAACGTGGTTGATGGAAAGATGCAGTATCTATTCGACGAGAACGGCCGTAGATACCTTGATGGTTTTGGAGGCATCGCTACGGTGTGTTGCGGTCATTGTCATCCTGATGTGGTTGATGCAATTGTTAAACAAATCAACCGCATACAACACTCTACTGTTCTTTATCTCAATCATGCCATTGCTGATTTCGCCGAGGCCTTGGCTTCCAAAATGCCGGGAAATCTTAAAGTAAATAAAAAAATTATTAATGGGCTTTGTTTTTGTTTTAATGGTTTTTTTTTTTTTTTTGAATAACTTTACCAGCTAAACTAATAAGTGCGCTCATTTTGCGCGTGGTTTTGATGTATAGGTGGTGTTTTTTACGAATTCTGGGACGGAAGCGAATGAGTTGGCGTTGATGATAGCAAGATTGTATACAGGTTCTCAAGATATAATATCGTTGAGGAATGCGTACCATGGAAATGCAGCTGGGACTATGGGTGCCACTGCACAGTCTATTTGGAAATTTAATGTTGTTCAGGTAATTTTTCTTGAAATTTTTTGTGTTCTTTGTTTTTGGTTTAATGGTCAGGTGGTGTTATAGGGCTAGCTTAAGCGGTTGTTATTTGTTAATGTTATTTATTCCTTTGAAAATTCCAAAATGATGACCCTGAACTTTATGTGGTCAATTTAAGGTCATGTTTGGTGGTGATTATGGCTTTTTGATGTCATGGGAATCTTTGAAAACTGTTGCAGGGGGTGTGTTTCTGGGAATTTTTTGGTTAAGGAAATAAAGTTTAGTGAAAAGGAAAGAAAAAAGGGTCATGTTGATTATTTAGTAGAAATGAAAGGAAATAATAATGTAAATACAGGGTCCATGAGCTTGAATTATTGGAGGCCTTTAAATTTAACTAATTTTAATTAATTGTATATATATATTTTTTAATTATACATGGATCCATGGAATTGATTCTGCACTTTCAATATATCATGTTGGTTAAAAGGATTCCGAGATGGCTAGTGCAAAACTTATTAATGGTCTTCTTGGGATATATATTATGTTATTTGTGAACTTCTGGTAATATGGAGAAAGAGTAGATATTTTTGTGAAGATGATCCTTATAAATTTACAAGCAGCTTCCTTAATTGAATGTTTGGGATAGCAGTTTTGTAGATAATACGGAACAAAGTCCTATTCATGATGCTCTCATAAGCTGGAAAGTCAATCTGGTCAGAATAAATTGTAATCGTAAAATTCCATTTGTCAACAGAGTGGAGTCCATCATGCCTTGAACCCAGATCCATATAGAGGAGTATTTGGTTCAGATGGAGAACAGTATGCAAAAGATGTCCAAGATATTATTGACTATGGAACTACTGGCCATATTGCTGGATTTATATCTGAAGCTATCCAGGTAATCATCATCTTCTCTGATTTTTATTGGTTAACATCTTATAATCCTTTGTGAGACACTATAAATATGCTTATCAGAAATATTTTGTGTTAGGGAGTGGGAGGAATTATAGAATTGGCCCCAGGTTACTTGCCTGCTGCTTATAAAAGCGTTAAGGAAGCAGGGGGCCTTTGTATCGCTGACGAGGTTCAGGCTGGGTTTGGACGCACGGGGAGTCATTTCTGGGGATTTGAGGCCCAGGGTGTTGTTCCAGACATTGTGACAATGGCAAAGGTTAGTCCTGTCCTCTATTTGGTGGCTTTGCCTTATAAAGCTTCTTTGTCTCGCAATAACAAAAATAACTGCTTCCTACATAGACAAGTGTATTTGGATGATAATATTTTCCATTCCTGGTCTTAGATACTCATCTTTCACTCCAGATTTGCATGTTACTTGTCATTACAATTATAGAGATACGTACATGCCTTGTATAGTCAGTATGCCTAATTTCCCAGTGTCAACTTATTTTTCCTCATGGACACAAGCAGGGAATTGGGAATGGCATTCCTCTTGGTGCTGTGGTGACCACCCCTGAAATTGCAAAAGTATTGACACGTAGGAGTTACTTCAACACTTTTGGAGGAAATCCTTTATGTACTGCTGCAGGTCTGGCAGTTTTAAACGTGATCGAGAAAGAAAATCTTCAGGAAAATGCACTAGTTGTGGGGTCCTATCTGAAAAAGAGACTAACTGAACTCAAGGATAAATATCAAAGTACGTTGTCTCACCTTGTACATTTGTTCATTTTCTCATACATAAGAAATTTCAATTTACTTTATTTTGTGCTTCTGTCAAATGCCATAATGATCATTAAACCTCAGCCTGAATTAAAGTGAAGAATACGTATCAGGAGTGTTTTTTCCTAATAAGTTAAATTGCACCCCTGCTATACCTCTGAAGTGCAATTGTAAAGTAACACAGCCACTTGATTAAATACCTTAATTTTTAACTACATTGAAGTTTCTTTAACGTTCAATATCAACATCAGCGGTTAAGCAATACGGTTTTTTAGAATTTCACCAGGTGGTGTTTACTCTTCTTATTGTTCTCAATGGTTGCTTATTCCATAATTATCTGCAGTCATTGGGGATGTGAGGGGAAAAGGATTGATGCTTGGTGTTGAACTTGTAACTGACCGCGAACAGAAAACTCCAGCAAAGGCTGAAACTCTGCATGTAATGGAGCAGATGAAAGGTATTTATTCATCTCATCCTATGGTCCAGCTATCCTCCGAGCTAACTTCTAGTTACTGATAGGCCTTTTTTTGTCATCTTAGAATTGGGAGTCTTGATCGGGAAAGGCGGATTCTATGGAAATGTTTTCAGAATTACACCTCCACTATGCTTTACTAAAGAAGATGCAGGTACAAATTATTATTGTTGTTGTTATTTTTTTCTCTATGTTAATTGTTAAAGAAATTTTTCTTTTCGTTTGGAGATGGCCATCATATGACCAGCTTGGCTGCTGTTCTTATGACCTTCTGTACCTTTCTTTGGTTGCAGATTTCCTTGTGGATGCGATGGATTACACAATGTCAAAGATGTGAACTCTGCAAATTTAATGTAGATAAAGATGTCTATTGATCATTCACAAACTGATCCTACTAGTGGATCGCATGCTTTACATCGTGAATGAAAAATTATAAATACATAAATAGGTTTCTGCTTTGAATAAGTTGCTAGGACTTCAGAAACGAGGAGTCAACAACTCGTTGTCTCTCGAATAATTCTCTGTTGGTTTTTACTTCAATAATTTGCATGCTTCTTTCTTTCTTTGGTTGGAAGATCTCTGGTAATCTTCGGAATTAGGGTAAGTTCTTTGTGTTAAGTCAAAATGGATGCAATAGCAAGACTCTCCTTTTCTCTTTAAGCAAACATGTTTTCCTCGGTTGTGTTATGTTTTCTTCATTATCAATTTTTGAGAAAATAGATGAACTAGAAGGATTTTTATGAACTATTTATTCATTTCTCGAAGGAACCTAACAGAAAAGATACGTTTAAAAAATCATATTTTTTTAATGGAAAATTAGACGTTTTTTTTTTCGGATATTTGTTTCAATTAGGAAGGGTTTCCATACAATTTGTCATCTTTCAAAATGTTTTAAGAAAAAAAAAAGGTTAAAATTTTGAAGATGTTTAAGAATTTTCTTTTTTTAAAAAAAAATTAATAACAAATGCGGAGCTAAACAAATTTTGTAAGTACTCGGCCATTAAAGTTTAAATTTTTTTGAAAAAAAATGCAATTTTTTAAAATATTGAACAAATAAGAAATTAGAAGAATATAAAATGATCAACTTAAACTAAAATCAACTTTTTAAGAAATAAAAATTTTCAAAAATACTCAGCCACTGATTTTTTTGAGAAAAATAGATGAACTAGAAGGATTTTTTGTTAAACATCCAATGATGGATTCTTTAACAAGAAGCTTAGAATTTAAGAAAAAGAAAAGAAAGAACTAAAGAGAGAATATTCATCAATTCAATAGAAAGATCAATCTTAATATATACTCTCTCTTATGATTTTTTCAGCTACGTAAATAAAATAACTAACTAATTAATGTTAACACACTAACAGCTAGACAAGATAATTATAAATGTTAGACACACATATGACTTACTAACAACTTAATAATCACACTAATTACCTACAGTGGAAGTCAATGAATTTAAAATATTGATCATAACATTTTTATTAAACATTTCATTAATTTCTCGAAAGAACCAAATAGAAAAGACATTCAAAAAATCATATTGTTTAGGATGAAAAATTAGAGGTTTTTTTTTTCTTTTTTTTTTGAGGATATTTGTTTCAATTTTAAGGGTTTCCGTACAATTTGGCATTTTTCAAAATGTTTTAAGAAAAAAATACAAACTTAAAATTTTGGAAATGTTTAAGAATTAAAAAAAAAAATCAAATGCAGAGTTAAACAAATTTCAAAAGTACTCGGCCATTGAAGTTTAAAATTTTAAAGAAATTAAAAAACCTTGAAGTTGTTCAAAATTTGAAATTTGAAACATCTTTCAAGAAACTTTTTAAGAAAATTAAAATTTGTTAAACATGTTATAAAGTTTGATTTTTCTTATTTCTTCACCATTTTCACTTGTAACGGCTGAGTGACTCCGAAATTTTTTCCATAAAATTCATATTTTTTATTTCCTTTTCATTTTAATTGTCAAATCTTGGCAATCAATGACCACTGACCTAAGATCGATGTGGAAGCAGCTAGCATACTTTTATATTCTAATCGTCAAACCACCAGTTACTGAAATACCCTTCTTCAAGTCTTGTTTTGGACAAGATTGGTGCTGCAGTTATCTCCATGTGTTATATTTACAAAATAAACGTAAAAGAAAGTTTGGAAAAAGAAATTTTTTATAAATAGATGAGTTCGTGATCTACTTACTGCTAATTCGATAATGTAATGCATATGTTTTTTTAGAAACAAATTTAGATCGAAAATACATCTAGTTAGATTATTTTCTTCAGTGCTTTATATATATATATATATATATATATATATATATATAAGTTCAAACGCAGTCAAATGCATTATCAAATGAAGTATTATTATTTTCAAACACGATTCGTTTCCGTACATCAAAGTTTGGGGACTTTTGGCTGAAAATGTAGACATTTCTCCTACGAATAATTAATGATGGGAAAAATTCAAATTAACCCTTCAACTAATTATTAATTCTCAATCTAGCTCTCAAAAAAAAATATATCAATTAATTTTTCTAGGTCTCAAAAAAAATATGTCAATTTATTTTTCTACCTATTACAATTCCTCCCTTGGATCCCCGCCTAAAATCATCAAGGATTTTTAGTTCAAGTAGTCAATTATTTCCAAAAACAATTTCTTCAATTAAATTGTTCTTCTATAAGAATTTCTTAATTGCATCCTGCATTTAAAATCATCACAAATAATTAAGTACAAGTATAAAACTTTCTTCAAATGGAAATCAATTTTCTTTTTTCACAAAATACGCACTGTAAAAATTAACGGATAAAGATAAGGAACTCAATTAGAAATTAAACCATGGGATACAATTGAAATAATTAGTTTTTACACCTTGTTAACAATTATTGGATAGTTTGAGGACATCTTTTAGGCTTTCCTTTCATAAATTGTCTTCATTTAACAACAAAAGAAGATCAACTGGTTTAATAAAAAAGAAGAAGAAGAAGAGGTAACTGGACAGGGCCTTTTTGACTCTTGAACCTCTAGGTGGGCTCTTAGACTAGCTGGATTCGCATTCTTCCTTCAACTCGAGCAAAAGCCTACATTATTTGGATTAAGAGAGTCGAATTGTAATGATTATATGTCCATCACATCTAAACAAATGGGCCAGCTGCTACCATATGCCGTGTGGTTTTTTTTTAAAAAAAATCAACATGCGGTATGCTTTAAACGAGAAAAATCATTTCATATTCCTGGAGAGTATCCTTCTTTTTTTATTTACATAAAATAAAATCCAACATAAAATTACACGTAGATCCAGTCATGAAATAGTAATTCAGAATTACTCGATAATTTCATTGCAGATGTATATTAGCTTTATTTGCTTTTTTTTAGGTTATAAACAAAACGGACAAAAATATAAAGAGAAAGAGATAGCTTTATTTGCTCTTAAGAAACTTTTTTTTTAAAAAAAAAATTTATATTTCACGGTAAGGAGTATTTTTAGAGCAACTTGTAAGATAATAATAAAAAAAAAATCTTTTTTGAGTGATCTTAAAGATACACTCCTATATTGAACAGTGTATTTAGAAAATTTAATAAACTTTTTTAAATACTAGTCTCAAGATTCAAACTTAATAAATTAACAAAAGAAGCGTCCTTATCATTAATACAATACCTCTGAGTTTCATAAACCATTATTAAACATGTGGCTTTGGTACCAATGTTTGCAACAAGCCACAGTCCAAAAGAATTCAGCTTTAAGAAAAAGGGTCAAGAGAAAAAAAAAAAAAAAAAAGCAAATGGTAATTGCATGATAATCAAAGCCAAAGTCTACCAAATCCCCAAGATCCCTTGTTTTATTTATGTAGACCTCCTCCACTCTTTGACACCATACGATATGTTTAGTAGGGTAGGATAGGAAGAAGGATGGATGGATAACTTTAAAGCAATTTTAGGCTATATTTGTTAGGAGGGATGGATAGAAAGAATGATGGAATTGGTAAATAGAAAGAATGGGGAGGACCATATAGTTGTCTGACTAATAAAGAAAAATAAAATAACAATCAATTCATTCAAATTGAAAGCATTGAAAATTCCAAAAGAAAATAAAAAGATACGACTCAATCCACTCAAATTAGAAATTATAAATGAGAAAAGACTGGATTGGAGGGATACTTCCAATACTTTATTGGGTAATTATCATTCTTATCAAACAAGAGATAAATTACCCACTAACCCAAATTAATACTCCAAGCTAAAATCTGTTGAACTTTCGAAATTGATAAACGCAAATAATTGTAGGGCTGAATCACGATGGAGTACTACAAAACGCATTTTTACCCAATAAAAAAAATAATTTTAAAATAAAATTATATTTTTATCTTTAAGTTAACACGTGTTATTATTTGACTGATCAAACCTTAGTCAACTATTAAAAAATTGAGCAATCTGATGAAAAAAGTTTATCCAAATGTCCAATAATATAAGGATTGTTATGAAATAAATTTAGATAGAGGAGTTGCAATGATATTTTTAATATAATACATGAACACAAAATATATTTAACCCAATATTTTTCCCCCACTTTTTTTTTTTTCTTGAGTAACTTATGATTAGGCTTCATGTTAGAGAATAATATAAAAACTTAAATATATAGTCAAATCTTTTAGCCTAAAAAAATCAAATGGTTTAATGAGTGTAGTATTGTATAACATTCCATCATTCTAAACAACAATAAAAATAATAATAATAAACCAAAATATTATTTCTATTGGAATTTTTTTTACGACTGTTATTGTAAGCATATCCTCAATGATAAAATTCATAACTAATATTCATAGATAATCTTGAAAATACTTGATATATTTTTATTATTATTTAGAAGAAGCATATATAATTGAAATAATGTTTTTTTAGAAGAAAATGTAATGTCATTAATACTACAAATAGTACATCATCATAACAAAAATCATAATAGATTTTAATCATACCCAAAAAGATTTGTCCGCTAACAACGGAAAAAGATTCAAATAAAGATGAAATCATATTTTTAGTATCGAGAAATCTATGTTTATCTTATTAATATCGATGAATGGAAGTTATATTTTCTTTTCTTTTTTTTTACGAGTAAATCAAAAGTGATAATGTTGGAATATTAAAATGAGAGATAAAACATTAGCAATAAAAATTCTAAGGAAAAGAACTAATGTAACGAGGAGTTTTCATTTTTTTGGTTAAAAAAAAAAGGTCACTTAAGGAATTTTTATAGGGTTCAAGGAGACAATAACTAACATGCTATTTATCCCACGGCAATGAATAATTGATAAAGGTTTTAAATGTTTATCCGAACTCGAGATGAGCTAG